CGGTCCCGGCCCCTTCGAGCCGTATTTGCCTGCCATACATAAGGAACGTTAGCGAGACCATCGGACGCAACCTTCGCAAGTATGGAATCGCGGTCACTCACAGACCATTGACAACCCTCCGTCTCCGACTTCCACTTCCCAAAGACAGACCGGGAAAGGAGAAGTCTCAAGCTCTCGTCTACCGCATCCCATGTGCGGAGTCTCCTGCAGCCTATGTGGGAGAAACGAAGAGCTTCCTCGAACGCATCCGCCTCCACAAATAAGTCGTGAAGAAGAACGACGTCCAAACCAGTGCCCTCGTTGAACACGCCGAAAAACTTCGTCACAGCAGCGTGTCTTTCGACGAGAGCGAGATTCTGGCCACGGAAAAACACTGACGTCGACGTCTGCACCTGGAACCTTGGTATATCCAAGCAACAAAAGAAAACGCCAACAAGTCATCGGCCACTCTCCCAAGCGTATATATCTCAGGATTTCGTCGCTTCTTGGAAAAACACGGGCGCAACCTTCCGAACAGGGTTCCAGCGCTAGATATTCTTTGTGGAGATCAAGATAAAGACCATTAAGATGACATCGATGAAGACGACAAAGAAGATTCGTCCAACCTATAGTAACGCGTGACCAAGGAACGGAGCTGGTCCCGAAACGTAGGGCATTTTGTTTTTTATTCAAACCTAATTAAGGATTCAATTTTTGTTCTGACAGCCTAGTTCCTAGTGCTCCACCTTTCTCCTCTCGCTCTTCGTTGGTTTCCTCTCCCGTCCCGCCCTCCGAGTGCGCGCCCTCTCTCGCTTCGCCTGGCGTCGCCTTCGCCTGCACTGCACACAAGCAGTGACACGGAGTATAGGTGGAATGCAGGACATTCGGCTGATTTGCGTTAGACAGAGCGATGGCAGCGCCGAAAGCTTTCTTCGTGAGCTCGCTACCTTGGCGGTTGGCTTCTCTCTGCTCTTTCGTTCTTACCTCCTTCCTGTATGTCTCTCCGGGGAACGTGGGCCAGTATTTTCGTGGGCAATCCACGACCCGTAATTGGCTAAATCGCGGAACATAGAAGAGAACGGCAACCCCGTCCGGGTAGCAATGAGTTGCTGTCATGCAGATGGTGCGCTATTCTCCAGATTGACTTCATCAAAAATAGTTCATTTATTTTGAGCAAAATGTTTCTAACTGCATTTCTGAGAGAACCCTTAAACGGAGCTCTGAATGATCATGGTGGAATCTGGGAAAAAATTTACTTCAACTGTTAAATCCATTTCGTTTACTCCCATATAGAAAATGGACGATTTGCTAGGATATAAAGCTTGCGAAAGTGCAGCTTGACGAAGCCCTTTACTCTACAGGCAGATCAGTCAGCGGGATATAATTACAATATTTAAAACAGAAGAAAAAACATTTATGCACCACACCAAGAAATATGTTAATATGAGGATAATATTTCATGCCGTGTATTCTTATCAAAAGTCTTTGTCCCCGTACTAGTATAAAACAGACACCATTGCAATCTGCATAACTTTAGGAAAAGCACCAGTCGAGAACGACAAATTGAAGATGTGTGTGAGACAAGGTAAAATGATTTCAAGAACGTATCTTATTGGTTGCACCTGCATTTCAACAAAATTGGTGCACTTATTGTTTTGAGGTGTGAAAACGCCGAGTGTATATCGCTCTCGTACTTGCTGGACCCCCCCCCCCCCCCCCCTGACTTCAATTCCTGGGGAAACCCCTGATGTTGTGTTTTTACAAATTACGTTACTTCTATTTTCATTACGAAACATTCTGTAATAATATGAACATTTCGCTCTCCTTAGCATGCTGATTATCTTGTTTCGACAGTTTTTAAAAGTTTGAAACACACATAGGTCTTTATATAGTGTTCAAAAACGCGCAGGGAGCTTGTTTCTATTGGTTATAATTCATAGTATATTTTTGGTTAACCATGGTTTCGTAGACGTTTTAGATATATTACCTTTCTGGGATTAAAACAATATTTATATATAGAATCGAACTGATTAATAAAGCAATAGTCCGCTTCATCAGCCGAGTTCCTTGAGAGCACCACAATATAAATTTTAGATGCCACGCAGTACCTGAAAATATCTAGTGTTTGAACGTTAACGACTTCAGGGGCCTTCCCGAAATAATCTAAATCAGCAAAAAATAAAATTGAAGATGGTGACTGATATCAGAATACACTACACCAGTAGAGAGTCGAGTCTAAGTTATGTTTGTGATACGTAAGTCCAGGAACCTTTCACCGAATGAAGTAACACAAGTAGGACAAGTGATTATATAAAATAAACCAAAAGACTGAAACAAAGTAGAAAATTCAACTTGACGAGCAGAAACAAAATTCATAATAATATTGAAATCACCACCTAAAATTATTTTATAATTGTTGTCACCAACAAATCGAAATACAGTTTCAATAAAAATTAAAAAAAGCAGATAAGTAAGTTTTTTTATCAAATACTATTCTTAGAAACTTGTGTTCCTCCTTTACAGATATAGCAAAATCATTTAAGTGCAATACTGGATCTGGAGACAGGCCACGTAGGAGTGAATAGGGAACATAGACTGTCTTTTCGGGAAAGAGCCTGAAGCCATTTTGATCAGCCCACCTGTACATCTTATTGATTGTGAGCTGCAATTGCCGTTCAGAGCTGGACAATTTACAAGAGGAAACCTATATCTGCGCATCATTCACATACAGAAAATAGGATACAGATACTGGTATAACTTGAGCCAGACTATTAATATTCACAGCAAAGAGTGTAACGCTTAATACTCCACCCTAGGGGGACGCCATTCTCCTGGAGAAAAACATTTGACAGGACGGAGCCCAAACGCACTTGGAAGGTTCAACCCGTCAAGAAACTTTGAATGCAGCGAAGCATGCGACCTCGGACACTATATGAGTAGAAGTCTCGAAGGATCTCATGTCTTAAGCGTTTCGTAGGTCAAAAAAGACAGAAACACAGAGCTGGCGATGGACAAATGCTTCCCGAATAAAAGTTTCCAAGCGGACAAGGTGATCTACCGCGGAGCCGCCCGCTCGGAAGATACATTGATTTCTATCAAACACACCCTCCGCCTCTAAAAAATGTACAAGACGGCGATTAACGAGCCTCTAATATGTTTCGCCCTTGCAGCTGGTCAATGGAATTGGGCGGTTGCTCGTCGGTAAGGAGGGGTCTTTGTTAGGTTTCAGTAGAGGGATTATATGTGCCTTTTTCCAACAGTCAGGAGAACAAGCAGCATCCCACAGTTAGTTGAAAAATGTGAGTAAATTGTTTAAAGATTCAGGCGACAGTCTCCTTAGCATCTCGTATTGAATCCTATCCGGCCCAGCCGCAGATTCTTTTTTGACGCCAAGAGCCAATTCAAGCTCACACCGTGTAAATGGCTTGTTATAAGGGACACCCTGAGCACCAGAAAAAGAAATAGCTTGTTTTTCTAGAAAGGTAGAGGAACGAAGGGGCAAAAGTGGCCTGCCCTACTGAAAAAAAAAAAAAAAAAAAAAAAAACATTCGAAATTTGAACGGGAGGCAAACTGGGAAAACCGTTTAATCAAACGGGTTGCAAACTTGTCGACCCTTTCAGATCAAACGTGATCATGAGATATGGGTAGCCGTTCAAAACGGTTCTCATTTGAAACGGTGTCCGTTTGAAACGGTACCCGTTTGATGCGGTACCCGTTTGATGCGCTTGCCCATTCGACCTGGCACGTAACCACACATTTGAAAGCGCCCTTCGGATATTCCGGCAAATTCTTAGTTAGCCCTGAATGGTTATCGTCTGGAAGAGTGGATATCTTGAATTTATTTAAGGCGTCCCGAAATTGATAAACATATTTATAACATGTAAGAAACTTGCAGGAAAAAAAATGAAAGACGTCTACAGTCCCCTGTAACACCGAATTAGAGCGCAGCTCTTGAGGAGGAAAAGGGGAAGGTCCCCTCCTCTTTTCCTCCCTCTACAGTCCCCTCCTCTTTTCCTCCCATCTAGCGGAAAATATTTCCGCTAAATTTAGCCGGGAGCTTTTTCCGCTAAATTTAGCGGGGAATATATTTATTTTTTCTTTGCTAAATTTAGTGGGGAAAATATTCCGCTGCATTAACCGGGGAATTTTTTGCGCTAAATTTAGCGCAAAATTTTTCCGCTACATTTAGCGGGTATTTTTTCTGCTAAGTTTAACGGGAAATATTTCTCGCTAACTTTAGCGGGAAAATTCGTTCCGCTCAATTTGGCGGGGAAAATTTTCGGCTGAACTGGGCGGGGAAATGTTTACGCTAATTTTAGCGGGGAATTGTTCCGCTAAATTGAGCGGGGAAATATTTTCCGCTAAATTTGGCGGGGAAGCATTTCCGTGAAGTTTGGCGGGAAATCTTTCCGCTATACATATCGGGGAATTTTTACCGCTAAATTTAACGGGAAAAAATTTCTGCTATATTTAGCGGGGAAAATTTCCCCTAGGTTAGCGGGGAAATTTGCCCATAATGCACCGCGCGGTTACGCCGACGCCGCTCATGCCAGAAACGGGCGCCTAAGAGTTGCGCTCTAAAATGTACTCGCACATGTGATTACAAATAGGCAGGAAAACGGACACAAAAAATTGTTTTCAATTCTCCTAAAAGTTTATTACATACAACCTATTCTGTACACTCTTAGTGCGGTAACGGCTAATGAAACGGCTACAGCCTATTTAGGCGTGACATACAGTGTATTTCGGCATGAAAAGAGAGTGACCCTGAAAGTAGCCATGACGGTCCAGCGTTTCCACGTCATCTTAGACCACTTAGGCGTTACAACATCATTTATAGCCGTGACATTAAGAGCTCCTCACATCATTGGCGTTACAAGCTGTTTGTCACGCTGATAATGTAACGCCGATAGAACGAGTAACGGCTAAATTCAGAGCACAAAAATAATAAACGTACAATTTCAAAGTTCGAGTCACGCCGGAGGCAGCGTGCATTGGCGGTGCTACGAGCAAAACAAACCCATAAAGCACCGGCCCCGGGGCCCGAGCACGGTTGACCTTGAAGGTCTGGCGCGAGAGCACACGGTTTAACGACGGCTATCATGACGAAACGTGTTAAGAGGGACCTCTCCATTATACCTTTTACAGGGGGAAGGAGGTGGCGGTGGAGTCGGCAACTCCGCGATTTTTGGACTAGCCCACGGCTTCTTTTTTCGCCACGACAAGGCGCGCAACGGAGTGTCGGACTCAGATTCGGTGCCTCGCGGCCTCGCCATTGTCTTTGTCTCCGAACTTACGGACCGGAAGGAAGAGTTGCACTCCGATGTACACGTCCGCAATCATTCGTGGCGTAGTGCGCTGCCATTGTTGCCATGAAGGTTCCGACCGTCAGGAGTTTATGAGAGAGAGAGGTGGCCCCAGTGGAAATGGGAACGTTCCATCTCCGCTCGGCTGGTGCTTATACTGTGGTCACGCGCCTGCAAGCCATGGGCGTCTTGAGTTTTTAGGTGAGCGCTTGGCCGTTTTTAAAATTTACAAATTGTCCTTAAACACGCCGAAGACTTTGAACCTCGTTGGATTAATTTGAGGCTCCGCAACATCCTTCAGAAACTCCACCTTCTTCAGAAATAGAACGCCGTTTCCTGTTTGCGTTCTGTTCACCCTTAAAAACAAAAGGCGTATGCATCTCATACATATAAAGAACGAAACTGCCTTGATGTGCCCCACTGTCACCACTAATCATGGAATTAAAACTTTTTTAACGTTTGTAATAAACTGTTGAAACTCAGTTATTCTGGTTTTCGACTCTTGTTAATTTATTTCGAGTGGACCATACGATTTTTGCATATCAACTCTAAAAAAATCCTGTGCGTGAACTTTCCCGCACAACACTTCAGAGAGCCAATTACCGCAACTTACGGAGGCAACTCAGCGAATGACGATGCTGAAACATATGTTAAGACCAAAAAACGTAGTCCGAGTTGTGACATTAAAGGGACCATGAAATGACTTTTTTACTTTTTCCAGATAACTTTTACATTAAACCGTCAATGTTCACTGAATGCCGAACAGGCATCCGTTTTCGTCTCGGTTTATTAACTTCTACACAAATAATTAATGAAATATCGACTTTTTCTTGACCGCAAAACAAGCCGTGACGTACGCTATTTCCGGAACCGGAACTTCTCTCGGCAGTAGGAGATGGGAGCATTAGCGGCGACGAGTTGGGGTGCGCCGGTAGGTTTTACTGCGCCGATGTCACCGATGTATTTTCTGAATCGGCGCCTCTCATCGCCGCATCGCAGCTGAGCGAAATTCAACGAGATATGTTGCGCTACAGCGACAGCATGGGACTAGTCCCATACACCGGTATGCCTGTTGGGAAGAGCAGCGAGTCTTCCGGTGAAGACTCCAGAAGTCAACCCAACTGTCATTGTTGGCAAAAGGCGGCCAGTGTCAGTCGTTTGCAAAGCGACGTAGATGGAAACGAATTGCCGCGGCGTTTTTGGCGGTCTCGGAGATGCAGGAGCGAGCCGACGTTAAAAAAGATACGTTTGAACTACGAGTGTCAGCAAGAGCCACGTAAATACCTGTTAACACTCGGAGCGGACGGGCGCGTTTGATGGAAGTGCTGTATTCGCGCTGTTGGTAAGCGCTTCGGGACCGATCTTTTACGATTGCAACTCGATACTGACGCGACACTCGGCAAAGAAAGGTTGGACCGGTATTGCACGTATACCTCTCACGAACTGTTACAGCTCGACAGTGACGTGCAGTCTGTCAGGATAAAAATGGCATACCAATAACAAAGTGTACATACCGTGTTACGAAGGTAATCCATACAGCGTTTATTGCAGCTCTATATCACACAAAACAAGAAGAGAGAATCGACGAGGGTCCCTTTTCGACGAGTGTTCGTCAACACTGCCTCGAAAAACAAGGGGAAGAGATTGACCTCACCTCTTAACGTAAAATTGAGGTCAGCGATCAAACTATTATACGGGAAGGGTCCACAAGGGTACCCCACAACGGTAGCGCGGGCATATTCCATTCAGCACGCCAGCCGGTCGCAGGCAGACAGACGGTCTTGCGACGAAGCAACGCTGCGCCGAGTCGGAGTGCCTGCTAGGCCTATATTCTGAGAGCTTCGTCGGAGCGCGATTCGCGGCAGTTGTCGCTCTTCTCGGGTGTTTGTGGATCCAGCGTTCTTGTTCGTCGTGGTCTGTTTTAAGTACATTTTTTTCTTGCTGCTTGAAGTCGGCACGCGCGAGATGAATCCGTAGAAAAATAAACGTTCAGTCAGTCAGAGTTTTGAGAGGAAGGAAACCAAAGGAAATAACCGTTCTGAAGTCGGCCCTGCCAGCCCTGCCCTACTGCGCACGCGCAGTAGTTGCTTCGTTTACCACACGATAGATGGCGCTTGGCTCTCAGCATTATCAAATCTGGCAATTTTCGCCACACATCTCTAATTATGCTGCAGAATGTGGGTCTGAATATTATTTAACAAAACTTTTAGGAAACATTCGCCGGCTATTTATTGTTTACGATCGCGGTGCTGGGGAGGTAGGCTCTTACCCAATAGGCGACGTGGATTCGGCTGACGTGCTCCATTTCTGCGGATGCATCGTAGTGAAAAGGCAGAACTTTCGAAGGAAAGAAATCGCAAAAGAGTCCAGTTTTCTTTTAAAAGTTCTATGGCAAATAATTTTTTTTGGCTCCCTAGTTTTGTTTTTGTGTTTCTTTTCACACCTTTTACGACGTGCGGTGGATGAAATTAGATTTTAAAATCATTTCATGGTCCCTTTAAGCAATGCAAGCGTGACGTTTTGCATTGCTTAATGTCACAACTCAGACTGCGCTTTTTTTTTTGTTCTTTTTTTTTTTTTGCTTTAAACATGTGTTTCGGCATCGTCATTCGCTGAGCCGCCTCCGTAAGTTGCGGTAATTGGCTCTCTGAGTGTTGTGCGGGAAAGTTGACGCACGGGCTTTGTTTTAGACTGGTATAGTATCTTATTTGTGCTCCGACCGCCGTAAAACAAAACAAAAAAACAAGCAATTGCAAGACACTGTGATGTCTTTTTGCTCAAGAAGCGCAAAGCATGCGGGGATAATACTTAGTCATTTGTCCCTTTGCAGTTCGCATTTCGGGTTCGAAAGCGTTTAGCGACATCAGCATTTTTGAACAGATTGGACATCGAATGCCGCCGTCTTGCTTTTTGGATGAGCTATATACGCACAGCGATATTTTCGATTGTAACACCAATTTTTGTTGCGACCGCTTGGCTATTAGCTGTTGCGAGGGGTCACATTTTTTACGTCAATTTAAGCCTAAAAGCGTCAGCCACCTTTCACGCCTGAACGGCGTCAAAAAAAGTCACGTCAATATTGGCGTGACTTTTGTAATGCAGATATCTGCGTGGACATGTAACGCCGCCAGTAGCCGGTAAAAAGGTGGCACCTTTTCACGCCAACATAGCCGTTACCGAAGTAAAATTGTAACGCCTAAACGGCGCCACAGAAGTCACGTCAATATTGCCGTGACTTTTGTAACGCCAATGTTGGCGTGACATGTAACGCTGCGAGTAGCCGTTAAAAAAGAGGCACTTTTTCACGCCAAAATAGCCGTTACCGGACTAAAGGCGCGTTCCCACCCGCGATGCGATCTAGTCGCGCGATAACTTTCATCGCAAAAGCGACTATCGCGGGCAAAAAGCGACGCGATTTGAGCAGTAGCTACTCGACCCGACTTTTTTGCGATGCGATCTAGTTGCGGAGCGGCTGAGCCAATGAACGGCGTTCGGAGCGAGAGTTTTCGAGAAACGACTCGCCAACGAAGGCGTTGGACTCGCTCATCGCGCACGCCGGTGTGACCATCTAGCTTTTTTTGCGATGCGATCTAGTCGCATCGCGCGACTGCTTACATCGCCGGTGGGAATGCGCCTTAAGAGTGTAAACAAGTACAGACGTGCAAGCGATCTGTGAACTGTGAAGAGGCACTACTAAGCTTTTATAAAAACGAGAAGACTCCAAAAAAAGTAAATCTAGGCTTAGTGTTTATGCTCCCGGCAGCTAGGAAAATAATTTCCCCGAAACTCTACCGGAAGGTGCCTCTGATTGGCGGTGGTAATCAGTTCACCGAAGGATGTTACATCGACAGATCGTTTCATTGACACGCTGTTTCATTCAAAGCTTATTTTATAGAGAGCTATCATTTGCTTTTTTTTGTAATAAGTCACCCCAGACTGTCGCCGCAAATGACATATACGGGTTGCCAGGTAGGATAACATTTTTGTAATGAGCCGTCGCAGACTGTCGCAGTCAAACTGAGTGAACGGGTCCGCCGGCCAGTGATACAAGCGCGACGAAATGTCCCTACAGCCTCCAACTCGTTTAACTAGTGTCGGTGGTATGTTAATGTTGATGAAACGTGTGAATCAAACCAGTAGCGTAGACTTTCCATCTTCCCGGGGGGGGGGGGGGGGGGGGGGGGGGGGCTGCGCGTTATTTTTTTTGCGACAACTGGAGATTGTAGCTAACGACCACACGCTGGAATTCCATTTCCCATTTATTTTGTCAATAAAGGCAATGTGCGCGTTATTTTGTTTACATGACGCTACGAGAAGCTCGTTACATGGCACGTAAACAGCGTCTCGGTAAGGACCCTGACCCGGGCCCGGAGGGGGGGGGGGGGGGGGGGTGGCTCTGCTCCCCCCAGATTTCACCAGGGGGGTCACGAGCCCCGTTGCCCCCCCCCCCCCCCCCCCCCCATAGTCTACGCCTATGAATGAAACGTGTATCCAGGAAACGCTGTTTTTGAAACATGTTTCCACGAAATGCCGAGAGAACAAGATAGTCAGTATCCTACCGGTAGTTCTGACATCATTTTACACATCTAATGGGAGGCCACTGCCGGGATAATTGACACTGCCTAATTCTATAGATATTCTGGAAGAGTACCCATAAAAGAACGGTCAATCTTGCTACCAGGTAGGCTGCAGTGCACTTACTATAATAATAGTGGACTTGAAATATGTAATCCGAGATATGTGGTGACACGGACACTGCAGGACAACTACACAAGCACAAAAACGAGAAGGAAGGCCTCCGTCAAGATTCAACACGATGGGGCGCACA